CAATGTTACAGTGGAGTCGCTTGCCAACCAACAACTTAACCTTGGCGCTTTTTTATTCATATTTAGCTGTAGGAGGCAACGGTTTTTTAACAGCTAAGCGAAAAGCTCTGTATGGCATTAAATTTTAACTTATCTCTGTCTCTTTCCTTTGCAGTCTTTCAGTGACCTTCTTATTATTGTGTGATTGGTAAAAAATGTTAATTATAACTTTGGCGTAGTTTCAAATGCTGTGATGCTAATGCATTGGTGTCGGTGGTGTGATTTTTCGCCCCTAATCTGTGATATTTAGTTTCCCATGTTTGATTCAAACGTTTGTGCAATTGAGTCGCTTCCATTGAAGGACATTACAGTAGAAGCGAACATAAATAACTTTTTCGTGGATGTATCTACTAAATACAGTTATGAAAACAACTCTAATGAGCTGCTGGAGTCTTCTTTCGTTTTTCCGATCGAATCCGGTGGCGTTGTGTATGAATTTGAGGTTTTTGTGGGCGACGAGAGATTCTTAGGTGTTTGCCGCGAGAGAAATGAGGTATGCTTTGCTTCCTTACTTATGGTTGACCACGTTCTAGGCTCAGTTCATTTACGATGAGGGGAGTGAAAAGAATCGAACAGTGTTTATTCTTCTTGAAGATGAAGAAATGACTGATGTATTTTCAATGAAAATAGGCAATATTCCTGCAAAAGAGAAAGTTTTCGTCAGAATATCATATTTTCTTAAGCTGACAACACTCAACCATCTTGTTGGCGTCAGTCGTGAAGATGAAATAATCACTATATTTTCTTTGCCAGTTCTTGTAAACTTGAGATACTCGCCAAAAAGTGTGTATTGCATGAGTATAATTGGCATTTAGGTCATGCCAATAAGCGACTATTTGGACAGCCATTTCAACCCAAATGGTCTTCTTTGATACCTTATACGTTTCATTTTTCTGCCTCCATTTCAACCTCTTCTGTCATTAAATCTATTACGTCTGCCAACCACCAACTCTCAATTGAGTATCTTAATGCGCGTAGATCTTTAGCAAAGGTATTTGCGGTTTTTTTACAAAACACTATTGTCTAGGTTGTTTTGTTAAGCCATTTTGACTTCACAGAAGACTTCCAAATGGAGATCACCTGTGATAACGCCAGCACTTTTTCATCTTTGGAATGCAGTTCAGAGAGGAGTGGATTTTTCTCAGCTGACTGTGTTCTTGTCAATTTTTTCTCACAAATCCCCTTCCCCTACCGGCCAAACGCTGAGATTATTTTCATAATTGATCGCTCAGGTGGGTCATTCATCTTATTTGCAAATCTATCGCTTCCGACTTAGGGAGTATGGATGGAGATCCAATTCAACAGGCTGCTCAATCGCTTTTGATCCTTCTCAAATCCCTTCCATCCAAATGTCGTTTCCAAATTGTTGGCTTTGGTTCAACCTACAAAATGCTGTTTCCTGAGTGAGTCCTCACTTTTAATCTTTATATGTTTTGAAGACCTCAAGCCAACACAGAAGACAACGTGTCCACAGCGCTTGAATATCAACGTAATCTAAGCGCAGATATGGGAGGTACGGAGGTTCTTTCTGTTCTTACGGCGGTCTATGCCTCAAAGATGACTGGGTCGGCTGATCATTGGCGACGAGAAATTATTTTTTTAACAGATGGCGGAGTTGTCAACCACGCAGAGGTCAGTCAAACCCTGTTCATTTCCTTTATTTTCCAACAAATCCGCTATCTCTGATCGTCTGTTAATTGTTACCAACGGCTTTTTTGCGAAAAAAGCCTATTCCATTCGCCGCATATTATAACGATTATAGATAAGTTGATTTAGGCTA